AAGCTTTCATGGGCTACTGCCCACTTCTTCGTTATGCACCCGAAGAAGTGGGCAGTAGCCCATGAAAGCTTATGCTCTAATAAATTTGTTAGTCTCTAAGGTGCCACAAGTACTCCTGTTCTTTTTGCGGATACAGACTAACACGGCTGCTACTCTGATACCTTTCCTCAACATGTAGTTCATACCTACTACATTGTGTCACATTGATAAACCTCTGAAGGAGAGTGAAATTGATATGGCTGATGGGGAAGGCTAGAGATCCACATTTTATATCTCTAAACAATGGTACAAATACAAGTTAGAAGGTGAACTAAATATAATAGTTAAATATAAAAGTTAAAAATATAGTCTTAGCTGAACTTTTGGATTTAACTTCACAAACCACTTGAAAGCCATTTTCTTAAAAACAAAATATACATCATTTAAAGAATACTCTAGGAAGGGCTAGGATTAAGAAGCTTTCCACTGTAAAAATAATATTTCAGCTGTGTGGAGCTCTCAAGACCACCATATTTTCCTTGGTATATTTCCAAAATGGAGCCTCCCACTCTAACAGAAGTGGGTATAGGTTTTAAAAATATAATACTAAATTTTCCTCTCATTCAGCTGACCGGCTTTACTACATGTTTTGACAGAATGGTCAAGTCTTCTGAAATTTATTCAACATTTACTGTTATGAGTTTTAGCTCTCTGGGTTTAAAAACATGGCTGTGTCAATTTGCACAGCATTTTATCACTAATACAGGCATAGAGGTCACTTGTCACACACACCTTAAATAACACATATTAAACCAAAAACATGCAAGATAAAACCTACACTTAAAAATCATACAGAACATGCCCAAAAAATCAGTCATACACATTCACGAATAGAAACAATTTTATATTTAAAAAAAGCTTATTAGAATGTAAACCTGCCAAACTATATACTGTAAACCATTATGAAAAATATGGGCCCCAGTCTGATGTGCATATATGCCCCTGCATGGGCCCCCATTTATTTCCTAGTTTGTCCCAAGCAGGTCTCTTTTAGCAGCAAAATGTCAGTGCTATAATAGCATTGGTTACACCAACACCCCACTTTCTCAGGGTTGAGTCAAACAGACTAGGCCAGGCTTTGTCATCCTGGCAGAACAGGTGGTTACCTAGGGCAGAGTAAGGGCCAGTCGTTTCCAGCACCAGCGAGGGGTAAACCAGTGGAGTGTCCATGCTCCACTTCACCAGGTCAGAGACAACCCAGGCCTTGGTGCGAAGGTCGCACAGCCTTAGGAAAGGGATGCTGGGCACACACACACGGGGGCCTCCCATGGTGGCCAGCAGCAGGAGCTACTCCCAAAGTCCTTCGCGATCAGTCAAACGAAAAGCAGCGAAAGTCAGCAGGGCGCGCGAGGTCCAGGAGCAGGAGGGCCCTGGCAAGGATGTTAACTGGGAGACGAGGGGGGAGACGGGAGAAGGCTAAGGCAGAACAGGCTGAAGGGAGCGGGCTACTGGGGAGGGGCGGTGAAGAGACGCGGTCTGGGGTGCGGAAAGTTAACGGCGATGTGAGGGGCGGAGGGCTCCGGGGCGCGGGCGGGACAGTCGGAGGCTCCCTGTGGTGAAGGTCTGGCGGGCGCAGCTTTCAGATTTTCAGGAAAAGATGCAGACGCACGAGAGCACTTCCCGGGCAGCGTTTGAAAGGGTCAGAGGCGAGGCGGCGATGACGCGCGCGCGCGCTGCCGCCCTTCTACGTCTGTTTCCTACAGTCGCTCCCCGCTTGTCTACCGCCAGTTTGAAAATTAAACAGCCCCAGCGCTTCCCATTGGGCCCTCTTTGCGATCACGTGATTTTGCTTCTACCACTCAGACCGTTTCGCGCGCCTTTTCGAATTGGAGTTTTCATCGACAGTCCCTGTATCCTTCCTCCTCACTCGCCCAGGAGGGAGGGAAATAAAATAGTCCTGCAAAGATGTCTGTCCCGGCGGGCGGAATCTCTGCAGCTCCAGAAGGGTGATTTCTGTCAGCAGGTGAGTGAAGGAAGCAGGCAAGTATTGTGGGGGCTACTGGGGTTTGTTTTATGTGGCGACTGGTGAAGAGATACGTAGGGCGGAGTGAGGCGGCCTCGGTACCTGGGTCCGACCGGTAGCAATGCCGGGGGCGGTGAGTGACGAGGTCACTGGAGCTGAGAGTCTACGCGCGCGCGCGGAGACGCTCAGGCATCGCGGTGAAGGGACGGGGCTGGGGGCTGAATGTGGCCCTGCTGGCGAGATCTGGATGAACGGACCGTGAGGGACAGTCGGACAGGTAGGAGCCCTTCTCTGTCGCACCCCAAGTTTAAAGGGATGCTGTAAGCGAGCTGCTCGCCCTGGTAGGTGGCTGCGGGGGGCATCTCCACCCCGCGTCTGTTTACGGGGGGGCGCCGGGAGCCGGTGTGTGAGGAAGCGGGACGAATAACTTGTTTCTGGGTTGTGGCTGGGAATGGTGGAGGGAGCTCT